ACAAACACAAGTTCTTTTTTTTTTTTTTTTTTTTTTTTTTTAGTAGTAGTAGTAGTAGTGGGGGTTAAACCCAGGGCTTTTGCACTGAGCTAAATTCCTAGTCCTTTCTCTTTTTTGGTTTTTGAGACAGAGTCTTGCTAAATTGCTCACGCTGGGATCAAATTTGCCATCTTCCTGCCTCGGCCTCCCAGAGTTCTGGAATTACAGGTGTGTGCCACCAACACTCAGCTTCTCAGGTTTTTAAAAACCAATTTTATATCAAAAACAAAGGAGAAAATTTTAAAAGATGACAGCATTTTTGTGAAAAGTAAAAGAACACCAAAATCCAGGATAATAGTGTCCGTTTCAGCTCAGGTTATGCTACTTTGGTTCACAGAGAGCTGGATGTGACATCCTAGGCAAATACTAAGGACCACTGTGGATTCCCTCAGTTCAGTGTGTTCCGTGACAGCTTCTACATCTTTACACTCAAAGGCCCCCCACACCCTCTGCACGACCCAGAGACAGACAACTAGGGATAGTGTTTTCATCTGGATTGATTAAGGCACAGAATTCTCACACACAGCTGAAACCCCTGGCCACACTTGTTCTAAACTAGTAAACCTCACAAGTGGGAAAAAGGACCATAATTACCTAGCTAGTAAGCATAAACTTAACTGATTAATATTAGCTCAACCAAATTCAGTAGAGGGTCAGTTTTTGCTTTTGGAAACTCACAGCTCCACAGTTTAGGACTCAGGAGTGCTGTGGATCCAAAAATACCAAAACAAGGATAAAATACAGGGCCGGGGATTTAGCTCAGTGGTTTCGCTGCCAGCCTCGCAAGCACAAGGCCTAAGTTCAGTCCCTGGTACCCCCCCCAAAAAAGAATAAAATACAAATAAATCCACTAGAAAGGGCCCACATAAAAAAACATGAAGACATTCCTCCAAGAGTTAACCAATATGCTATAAAAATAATAAGACAATGTAAGACATCAGCTATGATTTATATTTGGTTAGAGCAGAGATCAATCTTGAAACCAACGAATGTTTATGTGATATTAGAATGAAATCCCAATCCATCCATAATTTGCAGTTAATATATACAAGTTCTAAAGATGTCGGGATAGGGAATAGACATTAAACATGGGAGTCTCAATCCATACCTTTCAAAAGCAATATTTTTAGTATCGAGGCTGGTGTTAATGACTGGGTTTGTGAGCCGCCTCTCAACTTCCCTGCTTTTTGGCTTCATCAAGTCCAATGTGAGGCGTTCCATTTCCTGGGAAAGATCAAAGTGTTCGGTGGTGACCACTTTATCATCATGGTTGACTTCCATCAACTCTGCCCAGTTGTCTGTTAATAGAAACAAGGGTCTAACTAAGCACAGTGCAAGGAAGATGCACAGACGAGGAAGTTTCATGTGTTAAAATACATCATCTGAAATAAGAACCACGACGTATCATATAAAGGTGCAAGATCCCAGTGATAAATGGAACTGTACTGTTTGCTTTAAATGTACCAATGAACTTAATGGGGAAAAAAACACATCAACTTTTACAGTTTTGCTCCCAGATGCTGTCTGATAAAACCTAGAGTATTATTTGTTATTGATTACCTATTTGCAAAGGGATTATGTAGCCAGCTTTCAAACCTCATGTTTCAAAAAATGCAGATTTTTAAAATAACTTGCATTCTTTATTAGCAACATATTTTTCTATGACTTTTATAAATATATTATAGAATATAAATCATTTGTGTAGCACATGGGGTGAGCAATACCATTTCTCACCCTCCACTTGGAGAGATCATGCCTAATTATAGAGGGAACATAAAGAAATACATGACAGAGGCTTGTATTGAAAGGCTCAGGGACATAAGCTATCACAGGGGTAGCAGGACTGGGGGGATAAATGATGTGTGCAAGACAATTAACCAGACAAAACTAAGATAGGGATAGAGTTAAAACACTAGTAAGAATAAAAACATGCCCCCGACAGGATCCAACATAAGGAGAATGACTGTAAACCCATTTCAATGGTTAAAATTCAGCCTGCAGTTTAGCTTAAACTGTGACTACTGCAATGGAATCAACTCACCTTCTCCCTTAAATATAAAACTACGTCTCCCTCTTATCCAGCTCATATTTTCAAATCCCAGCAATGTGATATCAACGCGCAGTTTGGCACCACTTTTCCAAATTCGACAGACATCATTTGGGCATATTCTGGAGACCAAGGGCACTGGAGAAGAAAAGTGCATGACTGAGAAAAACCTGGGCCAAGCAGGACACCCAGGCCAGGAACTCAGAATTCTGACTTTAAAAGGAAAGCAGCGGCAAGACTATAGCTACCAAATACAACTGGGCTCCTGCACTTGCCTCCCACACATATCATACAGGAAGTCACCTTTAAAAATAACAGTGGAGGAGCTGAGGATATATTTCAGTGGTACAGTGTGGGCTGCACATACTTAAAGCCTTGAGTTCTATTCCCAGCACCAAATAAATAAATCTTTTAATTTGTATTAAAAAAAAATTTTGGTACTGGGGATCGAACTCAGGACCTTGTGCTTGCGAGGCAGGTGAAGTGCCACTGAGCTAAATCCCCAGCCCTAAATAAATTTTTAAAAATGCACCTTCTGTCCAATTTATCAGAGAGAACTTTAAATAAATTTCTCAAGAGTATTCTCGATCCTGAAAAGAACCCACTTATTAATTCCCATGAGGCAGCTGAGTATTTGCCATCTGGCTTTTCTCATTCACATGTGCTATTCTTGCCATATGGTTTATTGTCATAGCCACCACTCAAATATAAAATGTCTAAAATCCTATTTTTCAGCAAAACCTAAATTCAGAGTGATTATCTGCATTAGAAAAGAACTGCACAGTTTCTCAGAAAAGTCTAACATTCTTTTTTATACTTCTTACTTTATTTAATTAAATGTTTCATTACAAATACAACTTCTTGACTAAAAAAAGACGTCTGTAAATAAAAATGGCTGAAGCCCTGGGAGTTGGGTGTTATTATTAACTAACAAATAAAAGTAGGCCATCTATGAAAATATATTATTGGTCAATTACCAATTACTTTGGAGAAATATATTCATTTAAAAAAAAAAAACTATTGCAATATTTGCCTCATCTTCCCTATAATAATAAGTTTGAAAAAATCAAGCTGAATCCCATAAGGAAATGAATAAATTATGGTAAGTCTACTTACTAACATTTTAGCAATTTAAAGGGATATTTAAAAAGCTAATAAGATGGGCAGGTACAGTGGTGTGGCTCATAGTTCCCAGCTACTCAGGAGGCTGAAGCAGGAAGATCATTTGTGCCCAGGAGTTCAAGCGAGACCCCATTTCTTTAAAAACAAAAAGTAATAAAATGGATACATGTGAGCAATAAAGGGAGGAGACAAAACTGTCCACATAGTATATTAAGTTTGGGGTGCCATGCTTGGGGAGAAACACTGGAAGGAAAACAAAGTGAGACTGGAAGTGACTTTTTTCTTTGAATTTCCTAGATCTAGATTTTTTTTTTTAAATACATGAATTTTTTATTTTATTTTATTTTGGTACAGGGGATTGAACTTAGGACCTTGTTGCTCACAAGGCAGGCACGGTGCCACTGAGCTAAATCCCCAGCCCAAAATTACACGCAACTTTTACAAAAGAAAATAAACCTTTATGAAGAATAAGTAAATTTCGAAACAGAAATAAATTACAAGGCCACAGTCACTCACCCCAGCTGGTGAACTCCCACTTCATCTGCACGTAGAAGTCCGGAGCCTGAGAGACAGAGCAAGGTTAACTAACTGGGCCTATTAACCAACACAAACAGAGCAAGGACTAATACAGCTTTTTAAAAACATTAAGGGGGAACGGAGAAAGTAAGAAGAAACAACATACAGATCCACGAAATAAGTACTTTATACTGAAGCAGTTATTTTGCCTTGAAATAAAATATATCTAGACAGGAAAGTTAACAGAAAGTGATGGGGTTGATAGGAATAAAAAAATCTAACAATTTGGGAGTTCAGTAAGGTTGCTAAGAGGCACAGAAATGCAAGCTTGGAAGATGGGCTTAAGTGCCGCTATACAGTGTAGGTAATGGTCTATCCTTGACAAAGAGAAGTCAGTCAGTTCGTCGCTTCTGCAGGGAACCTGACTGTGTGCTAGGAGGTGAGGCATATTTACAGGACCTCCAAAAATAAGACTACTAGACATCATGTCCCAGGAATTGGATTTTCCCTACAGTTAACCAGATTTTGCCCCAATTTTCTCTTAAACTTTTAGAATTTAGCTTTCTTGAAGTTTTACACTACTAGCTGTTTTTGTTCCCTCACATAACCAAGGCTTTGCTTACATTTACAGAAGCACAGAGCAGGAAAGGCAGAAACCTATCCTGGAGTGAAACAGGCCAGGATTCCAGTGATGAGCCAAAATACCTTTCAAGAGGTACCTGATAGGGCCAGGGATTTAGCTCAGTGATGCCACTGCCTGCCTCTCAAGTGCAAGGACCAATCCCAGGTACAAAAAAAAAAAAAAAAAAAAAAAAAAAAGAA